GAACCGCTGCGCATTCCACTTCACAAAATTTCCCTTCGTTACCCCTGCACCCAGCCAAATACAGAGGTCATATTTCAGAAATGTGAGTTTTCCTATCCAGTCATGAAGGACTCATTGAAATGTGGAAGGATAAATGAATAACAGAACCTTGGAAAATTAAAAAAAAAAAAAAAAAAAGAAATGTTTAGGAAACCTGTAACTTAACTGCCAAGGATTTAAAATGCTGGTTTTGCACAGTGGCAGGGTAACGAAGAGGGACAAGGGTGGGAGAAGAAATCCCATACCTTAGGGCTATAGAGGATGCTAAAGAGAGTGACAGGGGGCAGTGAAAATAAAAGACTTGAATGGAATTTTTTCAGGGACTACAATTCTAGGACTGGAAAGCTTTTGATATAAATTCAGCAGAATTTGGAAAGGACAAGTTTGTCACTGTTCCCTCTGCATCTGATGCACCTTACCTGGGCAGCGTCTCTTGTTGCAAACCTGCATCTGTGCATCAGACCCCTGGCAGGAAGACCCGTCGTGGGAAGGAGGAGGGTTATTGCAGAGCCTCAGCCGCGTCTGAGTTCCTTTCCCGCAAGTCTCGCTGCAGGGACCCCACGGCAGCCAAGAGCTCCACTCACCATCAACTGCAAAGGCAGCACAGTGTGTATAGATATATAAAAAACTGTTCAAACTATAAACCTGTTCAAACTACACGGCTGCTTTAACTTGACACAACAGCTCCGGGGCCTAAGGCAGAAGAGCTACGTTGTTTAACAACAATAAATGCGATAGCCTGAGTAAGCCCTTGAAAAAAAACCTTCGCCGTGAGCAACAGCTGAAACGCACCAACAGTTTCCAAAAGCGAGATGAATTCTTTCCTTTTTTGTTTTCTGAATACTTCGCCTCACTGCAGCCTTGGAACTGAACGCTCGATCAAACGTGGTGCTTCCCCAGGTTACCTGGCTCCGTCTGTCCTGCGCTCGGCTGAAGGTCCCAGCAGGGAAGGGATGCGCTCGCTAGGAGCTGGCACACAGCTCCAGTGGCTACCAGTACGCAGGAGCCATAACTGATTGCCAAGATCTAGAGAAACGAATCTCAGGCCAGTGGATGGACATTTGGCATCACGGTGGCAGCGGAGCCAGGGAAAAGACGGAAAAATCAATATAATAAAAATTGTATAGAAGGAAACGTGCCAGTGGTGAAGGGTTGTGAATAAAATACAACCTGGCAAATGTGGGAAGTACTACTGACACAGGAAGGCAATCTGAACATTCTTAAAACAACAGAGGAAAACATGCTGACAACACCTTAAATTATTAACTGTTATGTTTTACATGGCTTTTTAATAGATGGGGTTTTTTTTCATTTTAATTGGTTTTGCACAATAGATTTAGAGTAGTGAGTTTTCCTCTGTGAGAACATGGGAAACAAACACTGAGAAGCATCAAAATACAAAATTAACAGTTGGGGAGGAGAAGAGAGATAAATTGCTGAAAATTTTCCTTGCACTTTACTTTTGTGACTTCTGTTTCCAAGACCTACTGCCATTCTACACTTTACAAGTAATTTTAAAATAAAAAAATTTCAGTTTTCATTCTTTTATAATATAATAATCTGAAACAAGCCGAGAGAATTCAGATTTGGAGGGGAAAAAAAAAAAATCTATACAGAAAGCCTCTTACGCCACTAATTCTAACCCAATTGTCTCTTACCTGGGCAAGGCCTGATATTACACATGACTGAATCCACAGCGCTGCCATCACAGGGCTTCCCGCCGTGCTGAGTCGGCGGGTTACTGCACGTTCTCGTTCTGGTCCTGTTACCTCGTCCGCAGCTCTTTGAACACTCTTCCCATAGCCCCCACTCTGACCAGTTGCCATCCACTAAGAAACAGAAAACCCCCCAGTTTGAATTAAAAAATATTTTTGCGGTATGGATTGAAATTTCCTCTTCCATTCCACAAAAATCAAAAATGAATTCCAACTTGTTAGAAAAATTAATTTTTCATGACGATCCGTGGCAATAACGGTTCGCTGTTAGGGCCCTGAACACAAGGCACGTTCAAAATATCGGTTCGTTAAAGAAATACCTGGACACGGCTTGTTGGGCCCCTCGCACCTCTGCCCGCCGTTCGCTGGAAGAGGGTTGTTGCACTGACGGACTCGCTCCTGAACACCTCGACCGCACGTTACGCTGCAAGCTCGCCATTCGAGCCAATGGGAAAATCCACCATGCACTGCAAAGGGAAGGACGACGC